TGTCAAAGGTGTTACACCAAATCAACACCCTTACACAAGCAGTACACCAAGTCAACACCCTTACACACGCAGTACACCAAGTCAACACCCTTACACAAACATGAAACATTTTATTTTTTGTGGGAAAGCAATATAAAGTCTTTTTACAGGTGTAAAAATTTGAGCGACTTAAACATTTCTGAAGTAGTCATATTTCAAGGTAAAGCACTTTTATATCCTGAACTTAAAAAATATTTCAAATGTGAATGCTCTATGATACTGTCGTTTAGGTTATATTTATGATCAAAAGATAAATGCTGGTTTATAAACTAACTTTATTACAGGGCATTTTAATTTTGTTTGTTTTTTAGGCTTAAAATACGTGACTCCAAGATTTATTGTATAACAAAACAAATTTAAAGAAAAATGTACAGAAAGACACGATCCTTTTTTTTAGGGCTCCATCCATGGGAGAATTGTACAGCAGCCGTCAACTGCTGGGATGTATTCCGTAATGGAAAGTGTGACCTGGAATGTAACAATGTTGAATGTCTGTTTGATGGATTTGACTGCACCCAGAAACTTCCACCATGCAAGTATGTTTATATAATATGTAGATTTTTTTTTTTATATTCTTTGGAGGCATTAAAGGCTCATTAAATTATAAATTTTGTGTTATATAATCAGCCTAGTTTTGATGAAGATTCAACAACGGTTAGCCTGATTTTGAGCTATGTTAGGCCTTACAAGTAATTAAACATTGTTTCTCCATTACTGTTATGTTGTTGATTGAATTGTTCTGATTTTGAACATGACCAAATTTTCCCTCAACAACTACTTACCTAATTCGAAACATGTTTAAGTCTTTCTGAATAACAATTGGCTCAGTTTTTAACATATGTAAGTTTCTTCAACAATGATTGGTCTAAATTTGAGCAGTGAAACATATGACAGTTGCCAAAGGAACTATTCAAGTAGGAGGCGTAACAGTGAACAATTATTGACTGGTTATGAGGATAACAAATGGGAACAAATCACCAGTCAATAACTTACTTTCTACCCTCCTTTCTTGTTTACAGTTTCACTGAGATCTGATTATTTAGCTGTCATGTAGCCTACATCCCCAGGCCTACTTGTAAATCTTAAAGTTTAACATTTCATTGTAGATTTTATCTCATTATAAGAGTTGGTAATAAATCAATAAGATCTAAAAACTGTTTAATTTTCAAACTATAACCACCCATCATCGTATACCAATAAACACATAAAGTACACACCTGTTTAACTTCAGGCAAGATTTCCAAAGTTCTAAACGAATCAGCGTGTCTTCACTGTGCTGCAAAAATTCTCATCTTCAAAGTTTTGCTGTCCAAATGATCCTGCAGCCCTTTATCTGTGAGTTACTGAAATCTTACCCCATATTTCCACCTTCATTTTACAGCAAATTGTTTGTAATTAGGCCTAAATGAATTGGTATGATTTCACTGTGCTGCAAAAAAAGGTTGTTTTCTGCAATGTTCTGCTGTGATGTCATGCATGCATGGCAACTGACCAACATTGATGTGATTTGTTTCCTGGTTTCACACACCCACACACATGATGTGTTTTTGTCCAATCATGGCAAAGAATTCAGGAAATGAGGTAGAATAGTGAGGAATATAATTGGTTCAATTTTTAACATGCCTAAGCTTTGTTAACACTGATTGGTTTAATTTGAACATGCCTAAGCTTTTTTAACACTGATTGGTTTAATTTGAACATTTCCAGTGAAATGTATGACAGTTACTGCCAAAAGAACTATGCTAATGGAAAGTGTGACTACGGATGTAACAACGAGGAGTGTAATTGGGATGGTCTGGATTGTGAAGAAGACCATCCAAGGTTAGCAGTTGGTCAGTTGGTTATCACCCTGTTGATTGATTCAATGGTAAGCAGCCATAACATGTTTTAGGTTTCTGTATTTTGAATGTTTTATGTAGTGTACACATTTACTACACAACTAATTAGCTCTCCCCCCCCCCAAGATTGTTTTTATTGTTGAAAATGTAAGAATTTCTGTACGTTAATGTACATTAATGTACGTTAATTTCTGTACGTTAAAATGTCATCAATAAATGCAACAACTACATCTTACATAGAATCTGGTAACTTAAAAATCACTATTTCCGAGTTCATCCAGTAGGTGAAGAAAATCTGAGTATACATACTATGTTAATACTTACTGACAGTGATAAACTTTACTATGAATGAAGCACAGAAATTCATCAGATGATATTAAGAGCATAACATAATGTTGTTGAATCACATAATAGACCATTCAGACAATAGTATGTTTACTGATAGTTTTGTGAGGAAGTTCCTAGAGCAGTAAATGATTTTAAATCTATTACAGAACTTCATAATCCATTCTGTATTATACGACATTCTTTGTACCATCGAATTAAGGCTTAGGGTTCTGTATACTGATTCTAAGGTATGGAAAACAAAGTACGTTATATGTGGTCTGTTTATAAACATTCACGGCTTATTCCAACAGGATTTTGAGAGGAGTAACATTTCCTTCCTGAGAGAGATTGGTCATGCACTCCGAACTAATGTGAGGATTAAAACTGATAATCAGGGGAACCAGATGATTTATCCATGGAGAACAAGGTCTGTGATGTGGTAAACTAGTACGATCAACTTGCATTTGGACTAATTCACTTAAAATTACATATTATCCAATTCTGCCAAGCTACTGTGATTATCACTAAACCTGGAAATTTATTACATCTCTTTAATTAGACAGTCTCTTTGAAAAAAAAAAATTAAATGAAGAGTAGTAAGAAATAAACAATAAACAAAAATTTATTGTATAGTAAGCAATAATACCAGAAATTAACCAAAGTTTATTGTACAGTAAGCAATAATACCAGAAATTAACCAAAGTTTATTGTACAGTAAGCAATAATACCAGAAATTAACCAAAGTTTATTGTACAGTAAGCAATAATACCAGAAATTAACCAAAGTTTATTGTACAGTAAGCAATAATACCAGAAATTAACCAAAGTTTATTAGGTAAATCTTGCATTCTTTTGTCTAGAAAATGGGTAACAAATCATGATTCGTGTAACTTATAAATATTTAATGTAAGGATGCATTGGAGGCGATATCAAGCTATCTTCTGAAAGTATGTTTTATTGAAGAATAGTAAAAAAAAAAAAAAGACAGTCTATTAATATTGAGAAAGAAACTTTGAATTTATTGTCCTCTTCATGAAATACTTCCTTAAATTTCCACTATAATACCTCAAATATTTTATATTAAGATCCTGTTAAAGCTATGTTAACTTTTTTCCTATTGTAACAGAATTGATGTTCACCTGGAGATTGATAACCGACAGTGTCTGAAGTCAACGTACAATGAATGTTTTCAAACAGCAGCTGAGGTAAAATTTTTGAGGGTTATATAGAAAATGGTTCCCAATGAAAGGTTAATAAAAGAAGAGTTTTTTTTGGTTTGGTAGTTGTGTAATATCTGAAAAGTTAACATTTTTTGTTTAATTACAAGATGCCTTAAGTATTATAAGCCATAAATTAATGCGATTCCCACTTTTCAGGCTGCTCGGTTTCTTGCTGCTTCCAGATCTCGCCACTCCTTGGACACTGCTTTCCAAATTGAAAGTATTCAAAGTTCAGATGAACTGGAGAAGCCTCGTGGCCCTAAGGTCACTTATCCCAACATGGTCTACATTGTCATTGGGGTAATAGTGATAATTTTGCTAGGATTGCTGCTTGGAGTTTTAGTTACGACACAGAGAAAGCGTGTACACGGTATCACCTGGTTTCCTGAAGGATTCTTCCGAAACAACAATAACCAGAAACGACAGTCACGACGCCGAGGACCTGATGGCCAGGAGATGAGGTATGATTTTAAAATTCTCCTAGTAGTGAGTAGTGAAAAGAAACATATATACAGTGTATTATAAAACAAAAAGGAAGTCACCGTTAGTTAATGGATTGAAGACAGTGAGATAGGTATACTCAGTTGAAATATTAAATTATTTTTAGAGTTAGAGGTTCATTACACAGAAAATTGTACTTATATTTTGGCATAACATTTACCTATAAAAGAGAAAGACTGTCGATTTATTACAATTTCCTTCTTATCTGAACAAAATGCTTTTCTTATAGAAACCTCCAAAAACAAGCCTCTGCCCAAAGAGTTGATGCTAATGATAATAACACCATACCCACAGAGACAGGAGGATGGAGTGATGATGACATGGGGGACCATCCTCCAGTCAAGAAGATGAAATGTGATCATTCCCCAGACCCAAGCTTTGGAGATACCCATACGGTAATGACCACTACTGACTATGATGAGAATGACCCTCGACCTTGGACGCAGCAGCATCTTGATGCAGCTGATGTTCGTAATCCCCACGTCCTTGCTTTAACACCTCCACAAAGAGACAGTGAGCTAGAACCAGGAAATGTTGATGTTAGAGGACCAGGTGAACAATTCTGTTAATGCCTATCATCATCAGTACACTTTTATATATATATTGTGGCATGTGTTGTAAAGTATAGCTGATATTAAAAAATTATCATTTCGGCCCAGCTTCACTTTATTTTGTAATCTTATAGTTTTCACTCTTAACTTTGCTTTTTTATTTCAACTCTCCTAGGGGGCCTTACACCTCTAATGTTAGCATCTTTCCGAGGAGGAGGTTTAGATACAGGAGAAGATGCAGAGGAGGATGATGGATCTGTTAGTATGATTCAGGACTTGATTACTCAAGGAGCTAAGATCAACATGACGACGGAACGAACAGGTTGCGTAGAATTTTATGTAGATTTTATTACTCTAGTGTAAAAAAAAAACATAAAAATTATTATTATTTTTTTGAAATAACTACTTGTTTAGAATTAAGATGGAGGATTACAGTTACGATCTAAAAGTTCCCCGATTTTGTAGCTGAGGAAGCGAATATGATGCGTGCTGTATTCCAACAGTCTTGGTAATTATTTTACAGAAAGAACAAATCCTCAAAACATCACAATAAGAAACAGCTTGCTATGATGTTTATCTGTAACAACTGTTAGTTTTAAGTTGGTATTTACCAAACAGGTTTAGGAAAAGATCTTTGGCAGACATTTTTTATTTAGATATTCAAAGTTCTGACCCTTCCACCCCCCTCTCCAGTTGTTCATGTTAGAATAAATGTTTTTTGATGCATAAAAATAACAAAAATACTCAGATAACTACAATTTCAAAATGTCTTTAAAATTTGTTTACAAAAATTAGCATCACTTAGATTGTGAAGAAGAATGGTCGAGAAAAGTATTAAACATACCTAATTTCTTTTTTTCAGAATGACCTGATGTTGTGTCATATAAAGTAACACTATTAGAATGACTTGATGTTGTGTCATATAAAGTAACACCATTAGAATGACTTGATGTTGTGTCATATAAAGTAACACCATTAGAATGACTTGATGTTGTGTCATATAAAGTAACACTATTAGAATGACTTGATGTTGTGTCATATAAAGTAACACCATTAGAATGACTTGATGTTGTGTCATATAAAGTAACACTATTAGAATGACTTGATGTTGTGTCATATAAAGTAACACTATTAGAATGACTTGATGTTGTGTCATATAAAGTAACACTATTAGAATGACTTGATGTTGTGTCATATAAAGTAACACTATTGTCGAGAATAAAAATTCTACATTTTTGGATTAATTTGTGTGTATTTTGTTTTCAAAATAACATAATTTTTTAGTTTTTAAAACATTTCTGTTTTAATGTAAATGCATGGATTTTTTTAGCTTCAATTTTTCAGTATGTTCTGATTTTGTTAAGTAGTCCGTGTAGTATTGGTATAATCAATAGATTATTATAAGTAGTCCGTGTAGTATTGGTATAATCAATAGAGTATTATAAGTAGTCCGTGTAGTATTGGTATAATCAATAGATTATTATAAGTAGTCCGTGTAGTATTGGTATAATCAATAGAGTATTATAAGTAGTCCGTGTAGTATTGGTATAATCAATAGATTATTATAAGTAGTCCGTGTAGTATTGGTATAATCAGTAGAGTATTATAAGTAGTCAATGTAGTATTAGTATAATCAGTAAATTATTATAAGTAGTCAATGTAGTATTGGTATAATCAGTAGACTATTATAAGTAGTCAATGTAGTATTAGTATAATCAGTAGAGTATTATAAGTAGTCAGTGTAGTATTAGTAGAATCAGTAGACTATTATAAGTAGTCAGTGTAGTATTAGTATAATCAATAGACTATTATAAGTAATCAATATAGTATTAGTATAGTCAGTAGACTGTTATAAGTAGTCAGTGTAGTATTAATATAATCAGTAGACTATTATAAGTAGTCAATATAGTATTAGTATAATCAGTAGACTATTATAAGTAGTCAGTGTAGTATTAGTATAATCAGTAGACTGTTATAAGTAGTCAATGTAGTATTAGTATAATCAGTAGAGTATTATAAGTAGTCCGTGTAGTATTGGTATAATCAGTAGATTATTATAAGTAGTCTGTGTAGTATTGGTATAATCAGTAGAGTACTATAAGTAGTCAATGTAGTATTAGTATAATCAGTAAAGTATTATAAGTAGTCAATGTAGTATTGGTATAATCAGTAGAGTATTATAAGTAGTCCGTGTAGTATTGGTATAATCAATAGATTATTATAAGTAGTCCGTGTAGTATTGGTATAATCAGTAGAGTATTATAAGTAGTCCGTGTAGTATTGGTATAATCAATAGATTATTATAAGTAGTCAATGTAGTATTGGTATAATCAGTAGACTATTATAAGTAGTCAGTGTAGTATTGGTATAATCAGTAGACTATTATAAGTAGTCAGTGTAGTATTGGTATAATCAGTAGACTGTTATAAGTAATCAATGTAGTATTGGTATGATCAGTAGAGTATTATAAATTCAGGAGAAACATCACTTCATCTCGCTGCAAGGTATGCTAGAGCTGATGCTGCCAAAAGGCTGCTAGATGCAGGAGCTGATGCTAACTCTCAGGACAACACTGGTCGAACACCGTTACATGCATCTGTGTCAGCTGATGCTCAAGGAGTTTTCCAGGTGAGATGATAGCATTATGCTGTTGTAAAAACATTAACTCCAGGTGAGATGGGAGCATTATCCTGTTGTAAAAATATTAACTCCAGGTGAGATGATAGCATTATCCTGTTGTAAAAATATTAACTCCAGGTGAGATGGTAGCATTATCCTGTTGTTAAAACATTAACTCCAGGTG